AGGTGGGGGGAGCAAAGGGGAACTTGTAAGGCGTGGGAGTGGTGTCACATCAAGTTGCAGCTATGTGTTTTCTGACTGTGATGACTCAGCCTCTGTTCCAATAGTTTAATAAGTCATAATCAATGCTGGAGCCTCTCCTTTCTCACCCCACTTCAAATACACGCACTAGTCATCTTGAGTGCAGTCAGGAGCCGGGGAAAACAAGCAAACGCCAGCGGCAGCCTTCTCTGGGGCTGAGCTGCCTCTTCCCCGATTCCAGTGCACCAGTGAAACTTCCAGCCCAGAGGCTGTTCTGGGTGGCCCGGGAAAGGACGTGGCCTGCATTCTGGACCACACTACATCTTGGGGTACCTGCTATAAGGGGTGGCAGCTGGGGGTTCCGGGGGGCCATCATGGGGCTTGGCTCCGTCTTCTTGCAGCTCAGGATGATTCGGCAGTTAGCTGCTCGAGGCCTCTGGCCCAGCCAAGCTGGGAGCCGGCTCTCTTCAGAGACATGCCTGTAGGACTGCGGGCTGGGGCTTTGGCGAGGGGTGCAAGCCTCTGTCGCTTCTGCCTGCGGTGCCCAGATGGGCCCTGCCAGTGTTTTGGTTTAGCTGGAGAATGAATGCAAATGACGCAGGCACCCCCCAAGGCATCCCCCCTTCCAGGCAGCTGGGGGTTAAGTTGCTTGTTGTTTGGAAACCTCAGCAGGGGTTACCCTGATGAAACTTGAAACTATCTCCCCCTGCCTCCTCCCTAACTCCACCTCCCCAACCCCCCATCCCCCACCCCCACCCTTGCCTGAAGGGAAGAGAGAGGCACCCCGCAGATAGTCAATGAGTTAAGGAACATGGGACCCCCAGGGCACTCAGACTCCCCTGCCCACCAGTCCTAAGACTTTGTAGGGGGAACTAAGTGGGGTTCAGTCCTGGCTTAGTCCAGAGTGTCTCCACAACATTTACCCTCTCAGGGGATCATTTAATCTCCTTGAAGTGGCTCACAGGAGGAGACAGGGAGGGAATGTGCATTCCTGGGACAGGGGAGGGGGCCCAGAGAGACTCGGACAGCCCAGCGCCCCCTTCCCTCCAGGTCCCCCTTCCCCATGTCCTGCCCTCTGAGACTCTAACAGGGTGACACTCCCTTGCTGTCCTTTCCTTGTGAGGTCTCTTTCTCCCCCAGAAGTTAACTGGCAGGAGTCAGTCTGGGACAGTAGCTGCCACCCCCCAGGCACACCTGTCTCCACTGCAGGCTGGGTGGGCGGGGTCTGAACAGCACTGACCTGGGCACCAGAGAATGTGTAATCTGGAGCACCTGTTGACTTTGTCCAGGTAATGTAGGCCTCCCCAACCCCCACAGCCTTGAAAGGACTGTGCTGAGAATCGGCTGCCACCTGCACCCCACTGCCACTCACGGGGGGGGGGGGGGGGTTCCCACTTGACTCCTTAAGCTTATTCTGGTGACTTTGGCCTCCACTGTTCAGTGCACCCCTCCGCTCACTGTCTCTCCTGCCTCTGCAGCTCGGTCAGTAGGTCAGTAACTAAGTAACAAAACCTTGAGCCTGAAAAATAGAAGGGTTGGGGAGGAGATAATCCCCTGTATGACTTACTGCTATCTTCTTCTTTTTTTTTTTTTTTTAAGATTTATTTGTTTACGCATACAGAACTGGGGCAGGGGCAGTGAGAGAATTCACCAGAGACAGAGGGGAGCAGAACAGGGAGCTTGAGAAGTAGGCTGCTGAGAGGAACAGCAGGTGGGTCAGGAGAGGTCTGCAGTGTCCGGTGGTTCACCTCCGGAGCCGGGGATCGAACTTGCACTGAAGTGGCTGCAGCCAGCTTCAGAGTGCTGCGCTTTAACCCATTGCGCCACCAGGGAGGGCCCTGACTTACTGCTCTGTTGAAAGTGGTTAAATAATGCCCTTTTTTTAGATCTTAGCAGAGAGACAATAAACCACAGGAAATTAAGAATAGGAGCAGGACGAAGAGCCAGTGAGGGCTCAGCCTGGAACACGGGGAGATGTGGTCCAGCTCATTCTTACAGAGAGACGTTCACAGCCAATCTGTGTCTGCAAGTCCCAGAAAGGCCTTTATGTCCCGCGATGGTGTAAGACATTAAGGTGTGTGTGGGGGGGGTTGTACTCATCAGTTGGTTTAGTGCAGCATCTCAGTTAAGCCTAGAGGGAAGGGGGCAATTCCTGGAGGGGGGCTGGGCCTGCGTGGAAATGCAGATGCCTGTGCAGGATCCCGAGTGGCTTTTATGGTCCCTGGGGGCGGGGGGAGGGTGGGGGCTGCCTGGCTGTCCCTGCCGGGAGAGCAGCACTCAGAGAATGCGCAGGTGGATGGAGAAGAGTAGGTGCCCGGCGCCATGATCACGTGACCTGGGCTTCCTGGCACACGCTTGTCCTCAGCTGTTCTGTGTCTTGTCACCCACAGACCACCTGCATTTTACCAGCATGCAGGGGTTGCTTACCTTTGAGACGTATTTTGTCACTGGTGGCAGGGAAACTTCTTTCTGAGTCACGAGTCTAGATGTCTAGTTCGGGAAACTTAAAGCACAGTCCCCAGGGCTGAAGATGTGCCCGTTTGGCTTAGTAGTGCGCTACTTTCTTCATATCTGGAGGGGGCTGCCCGTTCTCTCCTCTGCCCCTTGGCAGGTGTGAGTAACACTTGACACATCACCATTTTTCTCTACTCACACCCTCCACCCACAGGATGTCTAAGAGCAGGGCTTCGACGCCCCCTGGAACCTCAAACGCTGGAATCAGAGGCTGTGATCCAGGTAGCGTTCTCTTTTCTCGTGTCCTCCACTGTGACAGAGACGTACGTAAGTGTAGAATTGAGCCAGAGGGACCTTAGAAATCCTCGGGTTTATAGCCCATGTCTCATCATTATACAGGAAAAACACCAGGTGCAGGGAGTTTGGGGGACCTGCCCAGCTGGGCAGGGGCAAAGTCCAACGTGCAGCCTGTGTCCATAGGCACAAGGCCCTGGGTCATGGAAGCTGGGGAGAGTCTCTGCCCCCCACCCCCGGCTCTGCTCCTCACCTACGCAGTCTCCCGAAGGCCAAATCCTGCTGCCCTCCCGCAGGGTCCTCTTCTTCAGCCCCTCTAGCAGGCAGAGCACCTGGGACCAGCCCCTCTGACTTCTGGGTGTGCCTCCAGCCCAGCTCTGGAGAGAAAGAGGCCGGCTCTGGAGGGCCGGGCTGCTGGGTCCTCTGGCAGACCGGCCCTGCCCACCAATGAGAGCCTCAGGGAGGTCTGGTCCCTGCAGGCAGCCCCACCACTTCACTGGGTGGGTGCCCTGTCATGACGTGCGGGAGCTGGGCAGGGTGTGTGGGGCCTCGAGGCTTCTGTGTCCAAAGGGCATGTCCAGCGAGCGAGTCACCTCCAGCCCCCTGGGCAGCGCCCTCCAGGACCCGACGCCTGGTTTTTGTGGAAATGGGGCTTTTCGGCTGGGAGGGAGGGTGCGCGGCAGTCTCACCCGTGGGCCAGACCTGTCCATGTGTGCTGCGGTGTCGTTTGTCCTTGGAGAGGGGCAGGCGGGCCAGCTTGTGACTGGCTGCAGCTGGGGACCAGCCCCATCGCCCCTCTTCCTGGCCGAAGTGTTCCCCACGGCTATCACCTTGGCGAGGGTCCCGCGGGCTCTTTCTGCACAAATCGGTCCTCCGAGCAGCCTCCTTGTCCTTCCCTTCCTGCTCTAATGATGATAGTTCAGCTTTCATGGGACACAGACTTGTCTTTTAAAAGGATTGATTTAAGGGAGACGCAAGCCCCTGGCAGAGGCTCTCCAAGAGGAGGTGCTGGCCCGCAGAAGCAAGACCCAGAGTTAACCCAGTAACGCCGCACACAGAGGAATAAAGCCCGTCCCTAAGGCTGCAGTTCCCCTGATGGCCTCTGGGTGGGGCTAGCGCACACGACTCACCCGCCCACCGGGCTTGGTCCCCGGGACAGCTCGGGATAGGCCCAAAAGCCCAGCCCCAGCCTTTCTTTTCTCCCCTGTCGTCTCCCCACCCCCACCCCCACTAGTGCAGAGATGGGGTGCAGCCTGATGGAATCAAAACGAGCACAGTGCCTGGAGTCTAGTATTGGCAGCAGATTCTCAAGTGTTCTAGAATGGACCTCCTCCCCTTGAGTGGCAGGATCCCTCCTGCCCCCCAGATCACTGCAAGCATCTTCTCTCCTCTCTCCGGGGCCCTGTCCCAAGCAGGGGGTGCTGCCAGGGAGGAGGCAGCCACAGCTTCAGGTGGGGTGGGGCGGGGCGGGGCGCCAGAGGCGGGGAGCAGGCG